TACTGAAATGTTTTAATGGGCAGTCAGGAAATACTCAGAGGATCTGATGGTAGAGTGCAGGGAAAGCATGGCATATATGGAGAGGACATTTGCGGTTACTGCATTGAAAGGCATTGGGATATAGATACAGATCTGTAGAAAACCAGGCTTGCTTAATTCTGTTAAATTGCTGTATCTTTGTTTTCACTGTGAAGCACTGCTCTATCTGAATGTATGTCACAGCAATTTTACTAATTAACTGCAGTAGAAATTGTTTCAGAGATGAGCTTATTTGAACTCACATTAATCACACTGTTTTCTTTGTTCATGTGTTTCCTCCTGTTTGCTGTCTGTTATTTTTCGTTTAGCTGTGGCGTATTGCTGTAGGGTGAGTGCTTGCTGCAAATCCACCGTTGGATTCAGCATTTTTTGGTTTCTATGGTAATGAACATGACAAAAAAAATCTTTATTAAATAACGATAAAAATAGGCTAATTCAGGTTCAGCAAGAGGTTGTGTCTGCTGCTTTTTTAACTTAGTAAAATGTTCCTGATGATGAATGTTCATGATGTACTCTGGCACTTCAGCAGTGGAAACTTGATTTGCAAGGATCTGGAAAAATCGTAAAGTGTTCTATTGTTAATGAGTTATGCATTTTCATTGCAAATGTTCTGATACTGTTATAGAATGGATTTACATGGGAGAGTAAAATGGAGATAGTTGCTGCCAACAATGGAAAAAGTACTAAAGATCACACAGCCAGTGGTTACAAAAGTGTAAGTCTGCCTCTATTCAGGCAGGTACCTGTGGTAAAGGAGCAAATCTGAAGATTTTCTTTCAGTTAATTCAGAATACTGATTTTGTTTCCTTATTATAAAACTAAGGAAAGATGAATAAGAAAATGACAGTGCCATAATGAAAATTTTTTTTTGCATCTGTATATGTTCTGCTGTATGGTTACCAGTTCCCATGTATCATTCAAAATCTTTTATCAGTATAAAGATACAGAAAAATAGTGCATGTTAACAGTAAAAGCAGTTGTTAATGTTAAATAACTACTTCTTTATAATTTTACTTGTTCAAAGTAATTTATTTGAAACAAGTTAGCTTATAGACTATTAATAAATACCAGGGAGATACAGGCTGTGTAGCTGTTCTTTTCTCTAACCCCTTATTCCATGTTTACAGCTAAGCAACAACAGTATAAGTTTCATTTTAGGAAGGAATATTATTTATCAAAATATTTTCAAACTAATCTAGGGGATGGGGGAAGAAGAATTTGTGTAATGTTAAAATCTGGATCTCACTCCACCCATAGCACTTTACTCAAACACCCACTCTTGGAAAACAAACAAGCCACCCACAAAAAAAAAAATCAGTCCCCAATGTTACCTATTACAGTTCAGAAGCATTTTTTGATAACATATTTCCTCCGGTGTCATTTGAAGAGGTAATTTCTTTCTTCTGTGGATATTTCCAGTTGTTTTCACCATTTCACATCTGTGGTCTGAAACTTAAACTGTGTCTGTTGTTTCACGAAGCTATGTGTGCATGTCAAGTTTAGTTAATTCAGCTCTGTCAAATTTTATGTTAAAAAGCCTTTCAGTCAAAAAGAGACTCTAGAAATAGAGTTTTAAACAGGTGGTTGTAATGTAGATTGCATCTAGGTGTACAATAAAATGCATACAGAAGACTTGGGATGAGAATATTTGCATGCCTGGGTCAGTAAGAATTTTCATTATAGATATTCTACTATTTTTATTACAGGTAGTCCCCATAATACTTGATTTGTTAACTGAATTTCTTAGGGCAATATAGAAGCTTTCAAATTCTACACTTTAAATATGGATTTAAAATTTCACTCAGGGAACTGTTTAGCACATGGGTAATATATAAACTAAGCTGGTCTTGAGCTGATAGTTCCACTTCATTGTTCTCCTCTGACATCATTGTATCAGACTTGCAGAAGAGTACACTGTGACAATATGTCTAGGTTTAAACAATTACAGATAATTAGAGTGGTAAATGTCATCATGTACAAGTGTTAGTGAAATATGTTTTTAATTATTACTTTGCTTTGTGTCATATTTCATCCCTTGAAGCCAACAATACCGTCAAGATGCTTTAGCCCATTTATGGAATTTCTCCACTTCCTACTAATTATCTGTAATTAATACCTTGCTAAAAAGTTGGAATTGCTTAGTCTTGTCCTAGTATTGTACATTACACATATATTAAAAAATGTAACTTAATTTTAATTCAAAGTAAATTCTTTCACAGTCAAATTTTTCTGAAAATTTCTGTTCTGAGGCAAAATAGAATTTTTTTTTTTTTTTTTAAATCTGTATGTTATCCACATTGGTAGAAAATAGTTTGCATTCTACTAGAAAATTTTCCTTAAAAACAAAACAAAGAAAGGAAATGTTTTGGTAATAAATATTTGAAATTGAAAGTTACTAGGCCATTTCTGGTTTCATTGACAATTTATCTCTGGATGTCTTTACTCAAGACATCACTCCATTTTACATATTTTAGAGCTAGAGTTCCCTATTCCCTTCTATTTTCTGTTGACCTTTTTTGTATCTTGACTATTTAAAGACTATAAATCATTTCTGCTTAGTTTAAAAATATTCAGAAGTATATTTTTGAAACCTGTTTTCTTTAATATTCTGAAAGAAGTCTTTCTTTTGAAGTTACTCTGTCTTCTTGTGTCTTTTGTTACTTAAAGCAGTTAAAAACTTCTGTAAGAAGAGTATAACACTTTTTAAGTGGGCTGTGTAAAAGGATCTTTTTGATTGCAGTCATGATAAAATATATGAAAAAATTACTAATTTAAGTAATATAAAAGTGATACCTGTGATTTTTCTAAGATGTCTTTGTGTATTAGTAATATAATTCATATGTATAATGCTGATGAATTCCTTGAATTTCCCTGCTGCATTATAAAATAAGAATAGAAACTAAAATTTTTCTTCATCTTTTTTATTAAACTTCTTGAGGAAATTATATTAAAAAAGGCAAATTGTATTGCAGCACTCTCACTGGGATCTTCTTTAACCCACTTAGATTTTTGCATTCTTGACAGTTTTGAATTCTTGAATCCTGGAGAATACTGTAAATTAGTGAGTGCAGCATCTGGACTGTCACGTTTTATTCAAAACATGAATTCATAAACATGGTTAAATCTGATGCAGTGAAAGGGTTATTTCAGCTTTTGTAAAGAAAAGCTTATGCATTGCAGAGCTAATTGCCGTTCTTTAAGGAGTTAACCAGCATGTTGTTTGGTAACAGCCTACTTGCATAATAAGATGTTTCATTGAGGCTTTTACTGCACTCTCTTTAAGGAAACCAAAGAGATCTGGGCTAAGAGTAAGGATTTACCAGAGTACATTATTTGTTAGAAGATAAGAAACAAGGTCAAGTGTATGGCCAGTTTTCATAGCAGTAAATCACCAGTGGAGTTTTGTGAAGATCTGTGCTGGGACCTGTGCAGTTCTTTTGTTCATAAATAATTTGGAACAGGAAGTAGGGATACCTTTTTTTTTTGAGGGCTAACTAAGAAGGTTTGTAGAAGGATGTTATGGTAAAATTGATAGGTAAGTGTAGATAAATGTAAAGGAAAGCAAAAGGGTTGATCAAAGTATTGAAGTAGCTTCCACACATGATATGACTGCATAGATGTTGATCTCTTTATCTGTGGAAAAATGTGAGAAGAGATGTGGTAGAGCATTTTGAAGGGCTGAGAAGGTGGTTTTGCACTCCCTTTTATGTCAGAACATATGTGGTCAAAAGAGTGATGAATTAGATGCTCTGTGATGCTGCTATTCAAAAAGTAATCGGGTGAATTCAGGATTCCTGTAATTCACTGAGAACTGTTAAGGTAGTTGCTTCTGGTTCAGTGTGTCCCTCAGGGACATCTTAATTTAGGGGTTTTCTAAGCCAGGATAGTAGTTTTATATGAGGCCAAGGGAGTATTCTGGGAAAATAAGAAGATATGATTGCCTTGTTCTTACTTACTTGTCCTTGACTATCCACTGTCAACCTCTACTAGAGACTGGATACTGGGCTAGCCAGCCTGTGGTCTTATCAAATACATCCCTTTTTAATGAAAGACTCTATCTTAAATTATCCTTCCTTGGTACATGTAATTCATGTTTCTGGATTGACTAGTAATTTAGCAATATGAAAATAGACTAGAATGTTATGTTAATCACCCCAACTCATCTTGAGGTAGTCCTGTCTGATAAGCTCCCAATTCTTGCTTTTGTACCTCCCTATGTTTTGGTTTGAGAAACTCATTTTTCCATTGATAGGATTCTTGTAATCACTAACTATAGGAAGGCAAACTGCTTGGGAAGGATGTGTTGAGAGAAGAATGGCTCTTACAGATGACTAAAAAAGTGGACAAACTTGTTTTATTGTTTTATTTTTATTTTTTAAATCTGGAAAGCTTATGAAGCAGCATGAAACTTTGCTATTTTGTGTGCATATAGCTGGAGAATATTTTAGAGGGAAACATGTAAGGAATACAGAGGTTCTCAGTTACTACCATCCTTTTTTTGATGCTGCAAAACCAAAACAGACAAGGCATTTGAAGAGTTATGCTTTAACAATTTATGAACCCATTCCCATATTCTAAAAGTTTGTCACTAGGTTGGTGTTTTCTTTTGGTGAGGCCTTAACTCCATCAAAAATTGTTTTTAGACATGTAACTTCTCATTGGTTTTAGTTAACAACGTAAAGGTGTAGCAAGATACTTGCAGCACCTAACTGAATTTGTTTGTGCTTATAAAGTGTTTATTTACTTCTGCAACACTTTGCTGGATAGATATAATTTGTCATAAGATTCTTGGAAGGGTTTTATTTCTCATTCTGAACCTATCTACCTAATACAGCATGTATTAATCTGGACAGAACCATTAAGATATAAGGTGTAATTAATGAAAGAAAATCTGTTAATATTTAAAAGTATTATTTCTTTAATACTAATTAAGAATATATATTCTTTTTTAATTTCTACAGTGTACAGACTATGATCTGGATTACGGAACTGAATGTTTGCATCTGGCTCTGAAATACTGTAAAACGAATGCCAAACTTGTTGAAGGAACAGCTGACCTCTGGAAGGTAAAGGCAATAATAGTCTATGGTTTGGGTTTTTTTTTTTAAATAAATAAAATTTGTACATTACCATAAACATTCAGATATGTTTTCAATTGTAAAAGTTAGGCTTTTCTCTTCCAAACTTCAGAATTGTTTTTGGATTATTGTGAACTTTTTTTTGGAGCTCATTGTATACAGACTTTGGCAGATGTTACCAGAGATAATCAGTAAAGACAGTATATATCTTGAAGTAGGAAAACCAACTAGGTACTTGAATAACCTGAGAATCTGTAAAACTATAAATCCCTAATCTCTAAAGATAAGAACATTGTTTTATAAAATGAGCTTTCTCCTGATACTGTCTTTTGTGTATTTTCCTCTACTTTTCCCATGACAACAGTGCTTTTTCTCTGTTGTCAAATAACCTGGCTGACAACAGTTTGATTTTTAGAGCAGTTCTTTATATTCAGTAACACAGTGATGTTTAAGACCTCTTCAAACAATCTTTTAAATATTTTAATCATCATTCACCTCGTCTAATAATCTGTAGGTTTCTGATGACTGATAAAGCAGGTGTGTATACAGGTGCCAAAGGATACTTCTCTTCTGCTTATAAGAATCCATTTTCATTGATTTGGGTGGTGGGACATTATTCTTTTTCAGTAGCTGTTGTGTCATGCAATTTTTAAGTGTTTCCTTTTTTAAAAAAGATTTATTCATTACCACATTGAAGGATCTGGAAGCAGCTCAAATCACTCCATCTGTCTTTGACAGTAAATTTCCTCCAATGGGGCATGATTTCTAATAAGATGACAGTAAATCTTACACAGAAAGGTAATTTCCTGAGTCTGCAGTGCAAATTTCCTGTGCAATTTAGCAGCAAAATTTACTTATGTATTGGTTGCATACAGCAACTTGTTTCAATATCTTTCTGGGGACATAGACTTTCTGAAACAGTATATTGTCTGTTTTCCTAATCAGTCTTCTAAGGGATAGATTATGTCATGAATATTTGCATTATTTCACTTTTTGGATGGTTTCATTGTTCTCACTGCAAAGTATGGTACTTATATGAAGGGTAAAAAATACATAATGTTAGTTTAGTTCTTCATAATGTTTATTTAGTTCTTTACTATTTGTAGATTGTAGTCTTTTGACCAAGAATGATAGAATAATTAAGAGCCAATGAGATATCTAGATGTCATCTGGTCCAACACCTTGTGGAGAGTGAGGCCAGGTTAGTTAGATTACACTGTGCAGAGCCTTGTCCAGTTGAGTTTTGAATATCTCCAAGAATGGAGATTTCACAGACTCTCTGGGGAAAACAATTCCAATGCATATCCCTGCATACGGAGGAGTCTTTTTTCATAGTGTTTGGTCAGCATTTCCATTGCTGCCTTTTATACTGGGAAAAGATGAAAGGCCAATAGAAAGATTGTCAAGAAAAGTCCAGTTTATTCTTTTCTATGGCCATTAATTATGACCTTTCCCCACCCTTCATCTTCTGTTTTTTGGGCTGAACAAGCCAAGTTCTCTTACACCATCTTTGCAGCCCTCTGCTGGACTTCATTCTGTTCCTCACTGCATTATACTGGGGAACCCAGAAGGAGAAACAGTACTCTGGTGTGTTCTTAAAAGTGCTGAATACAGAGGAATAATCCCTGTATGGCCTGTCATGAAGTCTACTTCCTTATTAATACAGCCCAGTCAGTTGGACTCCTTTTCTGCACTGCTACATACTGCTGACTCATGCTCAGAAGCTCCTCTTCTGCAAAGCTGTTTTCTATATTTTGGCATCAGTATGGACTGATACACAGGGTTATTCTGTCACAGTTGCAGAACAAGGTTATATTTCACAAGGTTTCTGTCAGTCTCATTCTCCAGCCTTTCAGGTTCCTTCTAAATGAGTGTTGTACCCTTGAGCATATTGCATACTTCCCCATTTGTTGTCATTTACTAGTTTGCTAAGGGTATTTCCCCTTTGCCAGGTTATTAACATGTTAGACAACGTTGTCCCCAGTATCAGCCCCTGAGGAACAGCACTAGTAACCAGCCCCCAGTTACACTTCAGACTTGAGCTTTTACAAATCTCTGTTTTAAAAGAGAATTGTTAGTGAACTTAAAGGAGAAGTGTTAGTGCCACTCCAACATTGTCAGTGAAATGAAATCCGGATGCTGTTAATTTTCTAGCATGAGGGACCCATTGCAGTAGCACTGGAATTTATCAACCTATAAACACATGGAAAATGATAACATGTGAAAAGTGAATTCCTTGTAGCTGCTCAGATACTTGACAGAGAACTTTTTTTAGCTGGTGGCATACTGGAGAATATAATGGAGAAGGAGATTCAGATAGAAAAGCTGAAAATATTGTGGACTAGGTGAAAGAGTTTGTATTGGATTTAAGGGTCAAGCTTTTGGCAGCCGGGGGGCTACAGGGGTGGCTTCTGTGAGAAGCTGCTAGAAGCTTCCCCTGTGTCTGATAGAGCTGATGCCAGCCGGCTCCAGGATGGACCCACTGCTGGCCAAGGCTGAGCCCATCAGCGATGGTAGTAATGCCTCTGGAATAACATATTTAAAAAGGGGGAAAAAAAAAATCCTTGGACAACAGTAGCCAAGAGAGGAGTGAGAATATGTGAGAGCAGCAGCCCTGCAGACACCAAGGTCGGTGAAGAAGGAAGGGGAGGAGGTGCTCTGGGTGCTGGAGCAGAGACTCCCCTGCAGCCCATGACGAAGACCCTGGTGAGGCAGCTGTGCCCTGCACCCATGGAGGGTAACAGAGGAGCAGATCTCCACCTGCAGCCCGGGGAGGGCCCCACGCTGGAGCAGGGGGGTGAGCCCAAAGGGGGCTGGGACCCCGTGGGAAGCCCACGCTGGAGCAGGCTCCTGGCAGGACCTGTGGACCCATGGAGAGAGGAGCCCACGCTGGGGCAGGTTTGCTGGCAGGGCTTGGGACCTGCGGGGGACCCATGCTGGAACAGTCTGTTCCTGAAGGATTGCACCCCGTGGGAGAGACCAACACTGAATCGGTTCATGAAGAACTACAACTTGTGAGAAGGACTCATGTTGGAGAAGTTTGTGGATGACTGTCTCCCATGGGAAAGACCTCATGCTGGAGCAGGGGAAGAGTGGGAGGAGTCTTCCCCCTGGGGTGGAAGGAGCAGCAGAGATGTGTGATGAACTGACTGCAACCACCATTCCCCATCACCCTGAGCCATTTGTGGGGAGGAGGTAGAGAAATTGGGAGCAGACTGAAGCCTGGGAAGAGGGGAGAGGTGGGGAGGAAGGTGTTTTAAGATTTGATTTTATTTCTCATTATTCTACTCTGGTTCTGATTGGCAATAAATTAATTTCCCTGTGTTGAGTCTGTTTTGCCCATGACAGTAACTGGTGAGTGATCTCTCCCTGTCCTTATCTCAACCTATGAGCCTTTTATTTCATTTTCTGTCCCCTGTCCAGCTGAGGAGGATAGAGCGGCTTTGGGCACCCAGCATCCACCCAAGGTCAACCCACCACTTGGTCTCAGTGTTGACAGCACTGTGCAGTTTGTGACAGTAGCAACAGCACTCATTTATTTGGAGAGTGCTGCAGGTGGTGCAGAGCAGCAAATATGCTCTATTGTATACACAAAGGTGCTGGTGCCATGTCATTTAAGTACCTATACCTTTTCACATCCTATTCCCTGTCTTACTTTGTAGCTAAAAGTTGTTGGTGTCTTCTGTGGCTTGTGAAGATATTCAAAGGCAAAGGCTTAAAAAATGACAAGGTCTGTGAAATAGTAAATTGTTTCTGCAGTAAACACTCCTATCAGATTAGAGGCTACAGAGAAAGATAGCTCCCTCTTGCTTGAATAGCACTGTGGTATTGGTCACTCTATACCAGGGTGTTTGGCAGGTGACTTGGAGCAGTACCATTAAAGAAGAGAACACTCATGGCCAGTCTGTGCAGTTTGATGAAGTGCAGATCGACAATTTTCTCAAGTAATGCTTGCCTACAAAATGGCTAAGAGCTATTGCTGTTTGTTACTGATCACCTTTCAGAAGCAGAATTGTCTGTCCTTAGATGTCACAATAATGTAATTTATAATATGTTTTTTTTTTTCTGTAGGGCTTTTCAATGCCTTAATAAATTGTATTTCATATGCCAAGAATTGATGTGTCCCCAATGGCCCCACTGTTAATTTTTCAACGAGAGGCAAAAAGATCACCACCTGAAGAGAAGCACAAAGGAATTCCAGCCAGTAAGTCAGCTTCATCAGGGGCCCAACTTAAATGTCTCTATGCAAATAGACATAGCATAGAGAATAAACAAGAGGAAATTAAGATGTTCACATGCCTGCAGGGCTGTGATGTTATTAGCATCACAGACACATGGTGGGATGACTCCTATGACTGGAGTGTTGTAATGAAATGTACCAGGCTCTTTGGGAGAAGGTGTCATCCTCTATGTCAGTGACCAGCTGGAGTGTATGGAGCTCTTGCCTGGGGATGGATGAGGGTCTGACAGAGTTTATGTGTCAGGATTAAAGGGAAGGCAGGGATAGGAGACATTATAGTGGGGGCCACTGGACCAGGGAGACCAAGTGGATGAGGCCTTCTGTAGACAGATAGGAGCAGCCTCACATTTACAAGCCCTGGCCTTCATGGGGGCCCTTAGGGTGGAAGCAAGGACAGAGAGCCTGGGCAAAAAACAAAGAAACTGTCTGAGCAACCAGGGATCAGGTTAGGAAAGCCAAAGCCCTGATAGAATTAAATTTGGCCAGAAACATCGAGGACAACAAGAAAAGCTTCTATAGGTATGTTGATGATAAAAAGAAGACTAGGGAAGATATGGGCCCTCTCCAGAAGGAAATGGGACACCTGGCTACCCAGGATATGGAGAAGGATGAGGTCTTTAATGACTTTTTTGTCTCAGTCTTCACTGGCCAGGGCTTCAGCCACACTGCCCAAGTCACAGAAGGCAAAGACAGGGACTGGAAGAATGAAGATCCACCCACTGCAGGAGAAGATCAGCTTTGAGACCATCTAAGGAACCTGAAGGTACACAAGTCCATGGGACCTGATGAGATGCATTCACATGTCCTAAGGGAGCTGTTGAGTGAGGTGGCTAAGCCACTATCCATCATATTTGAGAAATCATGGCAGTCCAGTGAAGTTCCTGCTGACTGGAAAAAGGGAAACATAACCCCAATTTTTAAAATGAGAAAAAAGGAAGACCCAGGGAACTACAGGCCAGTAGGTCTCACCTCCGTCTGGCAAGATCATGGATGAGATCTTCCTGGAAATTATGCTAGGGCACATGGAAAACAAGGATGTTATTGGTGACAGCCCACATGGCTTCACTAAGGGCAAATCATGCCTGACAAATTTGGTGGCCTTCTACAACAGGGTTACAGTGTTGGTTGATAAGGAAAGGGCAATTGAAATCATCTACTTGGACTTGTGCAAAACTTCTCACACTGTTCCCTACAACATCCTTATCTCTAACTTGGAGAGACATGGATTTGATGGATTGACCAATTGGCAAATAAGGAATTGGCTGGATGGTCACACTCAGAGACTTGTGGTCTATGGCTCAATGTCCAGGTGGAGAGCAGTGACGAGTGGCGTTCCTCAGGGGTCGGTACTGGGACCAGCATTGTTTAACATCTTTGTTGGTGCCATGGGCAGTGGGATTGAGTGCACCCTCAGCAAGTTTGCTGACAGCACCAAGCTGTGTGGAGTGGTTGACACAGTGGAGGGAAGGGATGTGCCATCCAGAGGGACCTGGACAGGCTGGAGAGGTGGGACCGTGTGAACCTCATGAAGTTCAACAAGGCCAAGTGCAAGGTCCTGCACATGGGTCAGGGCAATCCCAAGCACAAATACAGGCTGGGTGGTGAGTGGATTGGGAGCAGCCCTGCAGAGAAGCACTTGGGGGTATTAGTGGATGGAAAACTGACTATGAGCCAGCAATGTGCACTTGTAGCCCAGAAAGCCCAACTGTATCCTGGGCTGCATCAAGAGAAGTGTGGCCAGCAGGTCAAGGGAAGTGATTCTGCCCCTCTGTTCTCCTCTTGTGAGACCCCACCTGGAGTCCTGTGTCCAGCTCAGGGACTCCCAACAGGAGGACATGGACATGCTCGAGCAAGTCCACAGTAGGCCATGAAGATGACTGGGGAGCTGGAGAACCTCCCCTGTGAGGACAGTCTGAGAGAGTAGGGATTGTTTAGCCTGGAGAAGAGAAGGCTCTGGGGAGACCTTAAAGGGGGCTACAGGAAAGATGGGGAGGGACTTTTTATCAGGGATTGTAGGGATAGGACTAGGGGTAACAGTTTTAAACTAAGAGAGGGTAGATTTAGATTAAAGGAAGTAATTCTTCACTGTGAAGGCAGTTAGACAACTGAAACAAGTTGCTCAGAGAAGCTGTGGCTGCCCCTCCCTGGCAGTGTTCAAGGCCAGGTTGGACGGGGCTTTGAGCAACCTGGTCTACTGGAAGGTGTCCCTGCCCATGGCAGGGGAGGCTGGAACAAAGTGGTCTTTAAGGTCCCTTCCAACACAAACCATTGTATGATTCTGTGAAGATACTCCATTCAGATAAATGAGAACTGAAATAAATAATCATTGTTCAGTTGAGGTTTCAGAGGATGTGTAACAGAAAAACTGTAATGAATTAACAGGTGGAGAACAGTTTCTAAAGTCCAGGTATTACAAATCAGTTTCATCATATATGGACCTTGAATCTTTAAAGGGCAAATATGATATTTGTAAATGTTCAGTTTATTTATTAGGTGCAGAACCTATATAATATTACATGACTCAAAGCTGTGGGAAAAAGTTACTTATCTCTGTGGATATAGTGTTTTCTTGAATTAACTCTATTCTACCTGAGTGCTGTCTGCTTATAGTGAATTAGAAAAAAGAGCCTTTCAAAGTCACTTTTCTTTGGAGATAAAGCAAGAGACAGTTTGTTTACTTTCTGGTAACAAATTACAGAATTAAAATATTCTTTGTAGTGACAACAACCAGGCAGGAACATTTAAATTATTTCAGTGTTATAAATATTTATATGTTCTATTATAAATGTAGTTATTATATAATTATTTATAAGATATTTAGGATCAAGATGGCAAAAAAGGAAACAAGAGTGACACTCTTAACAGCACATTTTCAGTTTGTGCTTAACATTTTTGAAACAAATGACCTTTTTGGCCAATATCCTCTTAAATAAAGTATAAAATCATGTAACAGAATATATCAGAAGATATCAAGTTTCCACTCTGTGCAAAATACCTTATGTCAGCCATGGATATAGAAACAAGAATATGAAATTAGGAAAGAGATGTTCTAGTGTTATAAGTGCATCTAGAATTCTATGATCAAATCTGGATACAGGCTCTGTGCAACTGTTGATAAATAGACAATGTTCAGAGAAGAGCATGAAAAAAGATTAAACGTTAATGTGATAAATCCATAGAGATTTAGCTTAGTAATGTGATATAAAAATCTCAGAAATGGGTGAAGTAGAAGATCTCTCTTCTGCAAAGTGAGAGAGAACTTCTGGATGTCATTCTTGTTTATTCTTTTTCCACTGTGATTTTTGCACCTCACATGGGCTACAGTAGTGGAGAGTGCCATCTTACTTTCTGGTATAGAGTATCAGTTAAAAGTATTCTTTCAGATTGATTCGGCTAGGTCTGAATTGCTTCCAGCTTGGGTGAGCCTAGAATGCAAATCCACTTTAGTGAAACTAAAGATAAAGCAGTATAGCTGCTGAGAACAAACTGTTGTGTTGACTAGCCTTAAAAGTTGTTTAAAACTAATGTTAAAACAATAGTTAGAATTAAACCAAAGGATGTGTCTGTCATGGTTGCCTGCATTTTGAATAAGTCTCATCTAAATTGCAAAACAGCTCCTAACCAACACAAGAAATCCAGAGACATTATGAATATCTGTACCTTAAGAGAAACTTTGGTTTGTTTTAGCATCTTATTCAGTATTGAAGGAGGTGTAGAGAAACCGTCCCTTTCTGACTCATAAGTGGTGGTCATATGTGGTAGCTGGCAGGGTTGTTTTTTTCTGTCAACTTTGCTATTTTTATAGAACTTGTATATGAAATTTGCTTATAGGGTCAAAGATTATGAAAGAAATATATATGGATAGTGTGATATGGTCTCAGATGATTTATTTCTCTAGGAAACCACCCTAAAAAGTATTTGCTGATGTCTGGCTCAGAAATTCAGAAGTGATTTTATAGGTTCATTCTTAATTTTTTATTCTTCTGTGCTGTTTTCTTGAAGACTGGACCTACTTTATGAAATAACTTCTTTTAAAAATCAGACTATTTAAAAATACTTTTTCATACCAAAGAGATTGTGAGCCTTAGACTAAGTACGAGACCACTTTTGGCAGAGTTTAGACAGTCTTGTTTCTTGAAAGGTTTTTGGATTGTAATCTGTTACAGGTTTACTGAAAGTTCCAGAAAGAAACCTTGCAACAAAATTGGTGACTCAATAATTCTTTTTCCTTTCATTTAAATTCAAGATATTAATTCTTCCCAACAGTATGTAAACTCAAGGCACCTAAGATTTCTCAGGCTAGATTCATCCTCTGGCTGCTTCTCCTGCAGGCAAGATGTAGTGAAGTAAGTTAACTTTTAATTTTAAAAGAATATAATTCCTTGGAGAAATTCTGAGTAATGAGAAAAGTAATATTATTCATCTGTTTCTGTCTACAATGCACAGCTTAATTTATGAGATGGAAAGGAAAATGGTTACAAGAATCCTTATGTTAAAATCAGTAATCATTACTTGGAGACTAAATGCTAATACCTACAATGGTATGTTTCTGCTGTAAGATATACTTATCAGCACTAAAGCTTTTGGAATCCTATTCAGTCCATTTCAAAACGAAAGAAGAAAGTTACTCAGACTCCAGAGCAACAAATGCAGAAAATCCAGTAATATTTTATTTAACATAAAAGGAAGTTACAGTAAAAACAAAGACAAATATTTAGGAGTTATTATATTGTTTGTCACTGCATGTCATTGTGAAGACATTGCTAGCAGACTGTTAATGTCCTGAGTAGATGCTGTCTTTAGTTTTCTGGTTTTTATTTGCAAAGCCTAATACTTGGACTGTCAACCACCATGGGGGTACGAAGGTGGGTATGAAAGGTGTTTGTTGCAAGTATGAAGTAAATATTTAGCATTTTACTGTCCATCTAACTTATCTGATTAATGTCTTCAAGAACATCTTGATGTTTTTTTAATCCTCTGAAAGCTTGTATGAAACCTACTGTATTCTCACTGACTCCCACTGATTAGTTGGACTCTCATTAGCAGTAATAGTCTTGCACTACTGAAAAATTACAACTATATTAGTAAAAGAAATAAGGACGCTTCTCCCTGGCTGTCATTTTTATGATCACAAGTCCTATAAAAACCGAATCTATTCACAGTAAAATTATAGAGTAGAATGGATGTGTGAAAATAGATGCAATATCATGTTTTCATGATTCTTCAAAGGGTTAAAAATAGTTTTAGGTTTCAAATGAGCAGATCTAAGTATTTAAAAAAAGGTTTATCTTGAGTCTTCGGTAATTTCTGCAACTTCTGTTCTCATGACTTGCCAGCAATATTTTACCAGAATTAAGAAATTGACAATATCATTTGTTTATGGTATTTCAAATGTAAAGCATTGCCTTCAGGGCATTGTTTTATTGGTTTTACATTCCTTCCTGCTGTGTTAAATCTAATGAGGCTTGTCTGTCCTTTAGGTGACCTACAAGCGGGATCTGTATGCAGCTGAATCTATTATTAAGGGTATGTGTTCGTCCTTGTGGCTTTCAGTTTGCATATTCCTGAGTCTAATTAAGAATCTTGTGTTCTATACTTTTAAATGTCGTTAAGAAAAGTTTTATGATGAAAAAAATGTGCTTAGACAAGTTGTTTTAGCTTGTTCACTGGAATACTTACGTTATGCATTATTTACCTTTATTTACTTCTCTTAGAATAGAGAACCTTATACAAAGCTGTGTATATTAGATTAATTTTGAATGGCTTTATAAACATTTTTTTTTCTTTCATTTGCAGTTCAATTCTGAATGTCTTCCATCTTTCTAATCTAAGCAGTTGACTGAAAATTAAAGATTAATTCTTTAGGGCTTGTCACTTTTACATACAGCAATTGTCACCTAAATTGATATAGCGATTATATGATATTGAGGTATTCCATTATTTTATAAATACTTTGCTGAACTGGTTTTTAACCTTTTCCTGTACTGGTAACAGTGCTTACGTAGGAGTTTAATGTAAAGACTAGATTTAGTTGTTATCTAGATCGACTCAATCTAAAAAGAAGGTAGAAAGGAAGAACTCCTAAGTGTGGTATGATGAGCATACTGATGGTTATTGTAAACTTATAGGCACTGATTCACGGGACTCTTGCTTGACTCCTTGTTGAGAACTGAGGGATAAAAGCCCAGAAACTGATGAAGAGAAAGGGACTTCCCTTTGGATTAAAAATATATTTCCAGAGAAAAGAGTGTGGTTCCCATTTAAGAAGAACAGAGCAAACTCCATGTCCTGTTTGGGCATGGTGAGTGGTTGGCTTAGTTGTTCACTTCAGTGGCTCATGTGTTGTTACAAAATCCAGTATTAATTTAGCTTCTGGTTTGAGTAAGTTACACTATGCCAAGATCAGCTCTGTCACTGTAGACAAGCTAGAAACTTAAACAGAGCTCAGATATCACTGTGGTGTTTTGCATGCTGTTTCTCTAGACCTCCAGGAATGCAACGTTTGAAATTTCTGGTTATTACAGTAGGAAAATATTGCATATTATATGCATTGCTAGAACTGATTTAATATTTCAAGCACGTATCAAGCAGGTAGGGCTGAGAAACATTGGAAGTTCTGGTTTTGACAGGAAATGGGCTCTCATCTCCAGAGCTGAGGCCTGAAATTTTTGGAAAACTTGTTTTGAGTTAGAGGTTCCACACTCCTTTAGCTTTCAAGTTTATGATTTCCAAACATTAAAGAACTTATTCCAACAAGAAATTGGCTGGGAGTAGTTGGCATGAATTTACAGAGGTGAAATTATGCCTGACCAACCTTACAGTCTTCTATAATGAAATGACTAGCTTGGTGGATGTGAGGAGAGCAGTGGATATGGTTTGTCTTGATTTCAGCAAGGCTTTTAACACTATCTCCCATGACATTCTCATTGACAAACTGGTGAAGTACAGACTAGAAAACTGGCCAGTGAGGTGAATTGAAAATTGACCGAACTGCCAGGCTCAAACAGTAAAGTCCAGCTGGAGCCCAGTCACTAGTGATCTACCCTAGGGGGTTAGTGCTAGTTAAAGTCTTCACTAATGATCTGAATGATAGGGAAGAGCAGACCCTCAGCAAATCTGCAGGTGATGTAAAATTGGAAGGAGTAGTTGATAGATTAGGTGGTTGTGCTGCCATTCAGAAGGACCTTGATGGGCTGAAGTAATGGGTGAGCAGGAGCCTTGTGAAATTCAGCAAGGCAAAATGCAAACTCTTGCACTTGGGAAGCACCATTACAGGCTGGGGGCTGATCAGCTGGAAAGCAACTCTGCAGAAGAGGCCCTGGGCAGGTCCTGGTGGACAACAAATTGAACTGGAGCTGGCAATGTGCCCTTATGGTAAAGAAGGCCAACAGCTGCCTGGGCTATGGTGGGCAGAGTATTGCCAGCAGGTCTTGGGAGGTGATCCTTTCCCTCTGCTCAGCACTGGTGAGGTCACATCTGGAGTGTAGGATCCAGTTCTGGGCTCTCCTGTGCAGGAGAGACATGGGTCATGATAGTGATTAAGGTAATGGAGCATCTGTGATATGAGGAGATGCTGTGAGAGCTTGGACTGTTATGCCTGGGGAAGAGAAGGCTCAGAGAGATCTTAGCAATAAGTGCCAGATGGAGTGAAGAAATTGGAGCAGACTTTTCCTCAGTGGTGTTCAGCAAAAAGAGAACAAGCAATGGATGCAAACTGAAATACAGAAAATTCCATTTACACATCTGTAAATTCTTAGGATTCTCAGGCATTTTTTTTTTTAATTTAAAAGCTTTTAAAAGCTGGGAGGTTGGAAGGGAGATTGTCTGTCCTTGATTTCCTAGGAATCATTCATTCAGCTGAGATTGCCAATATGAGCATCTTTTGGCTTATAAATGTCATTTTTCACCAGCTTTTATTAAGTTACTGAAAAGGATATTTCATCTCAGAAATTACTTGGATTAATATTTTCGGAACAGTATTTTTAACTTACTCAAGCTTATGGGAAGCTTTGAAAATAGGGTTGTGATCTGACTTAAACTGGAAAAATATCTTGTAAATATGCAGTTTCTTAATCTTGGCCACTTATTTTTTGATAGTTGTTGGAAATTTAAAAACTTTATGCAAACAGAGCTAATTCTGCCATTAAGAGTTTTTCACAAATAAAATCTAGATAGGAAGTTCTTCAGCTGTCCCAATGATTATCAAAGTATTTTTATTTTTTTTTTTAGTTTTCGGAAATTCTTGTGCTCTTGAAAAGTACGTAATCGTTATGATTTAATTTTGTGATCTTTCCTTGGATAAAAGTATTCCATTTGAATATAAATTTTAAAAGCTCAAATGTTGTTACTGTAGTTATCATATGAGCAAAATTACTCATAAGACAAAACAATAGTTCATAGAGTGAATCAGTATGCAAAAGAGGAATTTCATGGTATGGTATGATATAAAATTAAGCAATGATTTTATCTCCTTGGTGAATAGGAGTTGAAATTAATACTTTACCTTGAAAGATCAATGGAAAAGAGGGAAGCTTCCAATCTTTGAGAAGTGCAAAAATAATTATATATAAAAAAATAGGTTCTTTTTTCCAGTCTAAATATAGATCCCATTAAATGGTTTTCACTGCATTCCTAATTCTAATATAGTGTATTCATGCTTTTACATTACAGACTCTTTTAATTTTAAATATTATCTCCAGTTTTAAGTATTACCCATACAGCAGAGACTGTTAAAGAAGCATTCCCTTTGATAGTAACGTTAATAAGGAAATGGAGAAAGCTGATTCAGTCACTTGGATGTGCTGTTTTGTTACAATATTTGTAAATATTTGCTGTAATAAGAATTGTTGTATTTCTGTCAGTCAGGCTTGCTGAAACCAGTAATGCCATCATAAAATGATATAAATGCCATGAGCTCAATGAATGTACTGTGTTGACTGTATCTTGACAAAAGGTTCAATATTCAACGTGGAAAAAAATCTCAGCAAACTCGTATTTCTAATATGTTGGCTTTGATCTTATTTACCTTTTTCCTCTGTATTTTTCATATTTATTTACCATATATGTTCTCAATAGTTAATGGTAATTTATCAGTCACTACTGCATCAAGTAGATGCATGTTCATTTCCCTTTTCCTTGAACTTAACTGTAGACTGTACTACTTTCGTAATACAAAAGCCAATTTATTGAACTGCATTACTCAAATATTTAATAGTTACTTAGTTGAGAGGACCTTCAGGAGTTGACAGGATGCGTAAAGGAAAAGAAAAAAAGAAAAATCAAAACCAGCGCTGATTATATTTTTGAAATGTTCTTTGTTCATTATCTTTTAGTTTTTTTGATCCTTTACTAGCTATGTTTTTCTACAGTGGGCAAAGAGAAAGCCAGGGGGACACCTTGTTTAAAATACGTTGCTTTATGTAGCTAGAGGATAAGACAGCACCCTGCTCCTGTCATGCAGCTGCTTATGCCTCCATCCCAACACATCCGCATTATTACATAGCAGCTCTTGTGAAGGTGGGAACCGAGTCATTACATTTCTTGTGGGGAAACTAGAAATTAATACACTGTGAAAAAATGGTTTCTGTGCTTTCTCTCTGCTGCCTTCTTTCATCCTGATAAGGATGACTCCTTGTATTTTTTTTAATCAGTGCTATCCTTTCTTCTTTATAGATTATTTAAAAGAAAAACAATTAGATTGGTAATATTTTAAAATTTTTTGCTTAAAAAATGTTTTTATACTATTTTGTGCTAATTTTATGTAACACATTCACAGTATTATTTCATACAAAAAAATTACAAACCTGAAACAATACTGCAACCTTCATGCAAATGAATTTCCATGTTCCTGAGTATATAAGGGCTTCAATCATCTCATAAGTCATTAAAGAAGATTAGTTATAGTTTATTTTAAAAATAAGATGTGTTCCAAACAACTTTCTCTAAAATTGCTTGAGTAGAAAATGAGGATGCAGATTATTCAAATGAAAGGAGCATTCAGTAAGTGTAACTATTTCTATTTACAACTGGAGCAAAAATGCTGAAAATGACCAGTCATTCTCTTCACAGATACATATTTTACATGTGTATTTCATCATGTTACCACATTTTTTGTTTTCACTAAAGCCAATACAATCTTTCCCAGCTGTTGGTTATGATAAAAAGTTTGTGTAGCTTGAAATAAAAATGAAGACCTTCATGGTGGTAAATCAGGCTAATCCCTTACTTGATCTTTGCTTAGCTAATGTTCTGTTACTGTGGCAGCATGCAATATATCTGTTTCAGTAACGACAGTAGTCTTTATTGTGCCTGGTCTGTATGAAAAACAGTACTTTAAGTTCATTAAAGTTTAGATTTGCTTTTTGCTGCATTGCATGAGTTCAGGGAGGGGAAGCTGAACATGCCCTTTTACTCCTTATGCAAGCAGTGTAATGAGTCCTCCATAGCTAATTAGGACACTCTGTAGCAGATTTATTTTACATCATTAATTATCTGTAATGGGGCTTTGGATAAACACTATTAGCACT